TTTTTTTTTTTTTTTAATTCGACTTTAATATTTTTCAATCGATAAGTTAATTAACGAAATTAATTGAAATTTGTAAACTAAAATTCCAATTTTATGCACTGTTGAATCTTTCTTGCGATTATTCGTTTACATACTTTAAGGAAGGTGTGTAAAGAAGAAAAGGATAATCGTCGAGTAAATTTTTTATTTTTCGATATTTTTTTTCCAGGCTACCGGTCCGAAGGAATTGAAAAAACACGTAATCTCGTTGAACGCTGGTAGCTGGACCTTCACGAATATTATAAATGATTTGCCGACAGGTGCTATATATCCGGTTGATCGTACGGTATTCGACCTACGCTTACCGACTCAGTTAACCAAGAGAAGACTTTACATCATACCGGGGGGTGGTTACAACCAGAACCTTTGCATAACCAACTTCAACAGTTGGTTTTATCGTTTCCACGCTAGGTAAGTACGTTTCTTAATTCTTAATTTTTTTCTTCGCTCAATCCTTTTCCGTTATTCGATCTTGTGTTGATTATCCGTGTCCATTTTGTGATTATATATTAAATATCAGTGAATAGTACTGATTGATCATTAATTTCGTAACTGTAAGAAAAAGAGAAATTAATAATTCTTAATTTTTTTCTTTTTTTATATGTTACATTTCTTACAGTAAATTAGAATAAATTTCTTTGATTACTAGAAAAATTTAATAGCAGTGATCTATTGGAACACGTTGAATTTTGAATTATTATTAGGTATAATTCTCACATTTATTTTTTCCCCTTCGAAGAATTATTCATCCCGGGTCTGGAAGAACTTTAGAGTTATATTCGAATCACCCGGGGTTACGGTTCTCCACAGGAAACGATTTGCCGGACTTCGGTCACAAATATCCGCCCGACTTTGAAGAATACTGCGATTGCATGGATCCAGTTAGAACCATTTTTTAAATTTTAACTGAACCTCGAATTTTCGAATTTTCGAATTTTCGAAAATTTTCTTTCGAATGTATAACGTAAGTTCCAGGTGCCGAAAGTGGTTGAGAAGGAAGTTTGGGGCAAGGATGGCGTACGGTATCAAAGGCACGGTGGATTCATTTTGTCGCCCCAAAATTATCCCGATTCGATCAATATTAAGAATTTTCCATCTTGCGTACTTTATCCCGGCCAAATTTACACACACGATCTGACGTACAAATTTGGCCTGTTAACGAAAAATTAAATAAATTTCGATTGAAGAGAGATAGGATTAATTATTAATTGATAAAAGGGTGCAGATTTATAATACATATATTTGTGAACCATTGTGTCGGGTGAAGTAATGTTCGTAATCCACACCGATTGTACAAAATTATCCGTCATAGTCTCTATTCACATATATGCCGTAAGAACGATCGCAATAGTCGCTTAATTAAGGGCTATTAATTAAATTGTACAAATGTTGTTTTTTCGGATCGATCAACGTTAGTATTCTTATATAATTCTCTTTTCGTTTCATCATCCTGAAAGGCACATCGTGGAACGAGGTTGATACGGGAGAAGATATGGATATTTGTGCAGATTTGAAAGAAATATCAAATTTTTATTTGATTATATTCCTCGTTTAAGTCTCGATAAACGTACGATCCATAATATCTCCACGCATCTATTCGTACCTATTTCGTTTTGTCTGCTAGTAGACTATAAACGTATGATAAATATATATATATATATATATATATAAAGCTATGTTTGTGTATGTATACATTTCATTCACTTAGGTTTAAAATAGAAAAGTTTGTTTCGTTTCTTTTGTACATTC